TCTTACTGAGGGACGACTGCGTGTGCAAGATGTCGGTAGCTTGAGGAATGAATCCCCTCTACTATATATTGGCAGGAAAGGTCATAATATAATTTGTAGCAAAGAACTAACTGAGGAATCTATTTATTGCTGTGATTATCAAAATGAAAGCACTACTTACGAAGTTGACATTGCTGCCCTGTCCATCCTTGAAGACACACACATCCTCCACCGCCCCAGCTGCCATGGTCAGAGCAATTGTTTGGCGTTCTCTCACAAGGCACAGCCTCAACTTAGCAAAAAAATGCGTTCAACTTCCATTTAATACCAAGGTCTACGAATCCCTTGAAGTTTTATTGAGTAAGTCGGTCTAAATCAAACTTGATAATGATTTTATTGAAAAATGTTTCTTTTTTATGCGCTTTGATCATCCTGTATCAAACAAACCCATTTCAAATTATATTTTCAACATCACAAAGAAACGAGAGAAAGCCATACCTCTGCATTAGTGTAGTTTTAGAGCTGTTTGTACTTTAAACATGTATATTACCTTTTCATCTGTTCAACTGTACTTAGCCCGATAGGGCATGAATGTACAGTAAAGATTTATTTCATGTATTTATTTATTTTGATCATGCATATGATTTCCCGAATGATATTGGCTGTGCATCTTATTATATCTACCAGCAGGTGTTATACTTATAATTGTAGGAGCCTCCAATTTGTGTAAGACATGTTTCTGTCGTCCGATATATGTTCGGCTATCTTATCTTCTAGCATATGTAGGATCAGCTCAACTATTTGCATTCAACGGGTGGTTTGCGTCGTGCATCTTTTGTACGTTTTGTTTTCTTCTTCTCTCTCCCACTATAAAAATACACAAAGACTGCTTGTCACAGCTTGTCGGACTGAAAGCGATTAGTCAGAGCATGTTAGATCTATTTTTCTGGAATGAAACAATAGATAACTTACTTTGTGAGCAATCCACTCCCTTATAAGGTGTTCGACAGTCACACTGGCCTGTTACATTGTTACACGTGCCTTGTCCAGAACAATCCGCTGGACAGGGTCGAAATGCTGTGTAACAACATGGAGTACAGATACGCGTTGAAGTAGTGTTTTGTTATTATCTTAAAACATCAATAGGATGCCATAGACTGTCGTGTAGTAGTAATTGCTGAGTTGTTGTTTCAGTAGACATAATTCGCACACGTCTACTCGGTGTGCTAAGACAGTTACAGGAAAAAAAATCAATAAACACAGCATTATGAAATCTAACGCACGCCTAATTTACCTGTGTCACAACCGCTGTCTTGCCATCCGTTAAAACATCTACAGGAACCAGAAACACATACCCCGTTCCCGTTACAGTCAGCAGGATCACAGAGTTCTGTGCGTGCATATGGAATATGAAAATAGTCAGTTTTCGTTCTTTTTGTTAATGTTTGTCTATGCATTAAGTATCACAGCAAAATGGAGGTAAAGAACATGACAACGTACTACAACTGCGTGAAACCCGCAATATACTGTGCATATAGAACAAAAGAACATCTCATGTAAGGTCCTATTTGTAAATATATAGTTAACATACCGTCTGGACTTTCCAAATGTTATGTGTGCAACATACCGATATTTGCAGTCTCAATAAAGAGGCCCTAAGAAAAATATGAATTTGGAAAATAAAACTGGCTTCAACACTATATTCAGAAACTTACCTACTGAACAGTCATCTCCAGCCCAACCTGCCTCGCATGCGCAGGTCCCGTCAGTACACACTCCGTTGTTAAAGCAATCATTTGGACACGAAGCTTCTGCTCACAAATATTATCAGTACAAAAACAACAAGCAGTATCAATTGAAAAAATCAATAGAATAATCGTCAATGTATACTAAGTAATAGTATCTAACACAATTGTGTTTTTATTGTCAATGAAGAGCAGTTACTGGAAAATGCAAGACGATTTTAAATATCTGAATCAAAATAAACACAAATTATAACAAGTTGCAGTCAAAATGCACCTGACCATTTTTATATTTAAGTAACGTAGAATTTGCTAAAAACGTTGGCTACCTTTTCAAAAAAATAACTTAAGTTTACCTTATTTGTGTTTTATGATACTGCACTCAATATGTCATAATATTTAGTGTTGATATTTATTTGTATAAATAGATAGATTGCCGGGATTAGGGCACCAAAAGGAAGCATATTAAGAGTTAGCCATACCTGTAGTGACGAAAGTGATTGTTCCTTTTAATGCCTGACCAGCTCCGTTATAGACGGCAAAGATCCAGTTCCCTTCAAACGTATGACCTGGGAAGTCAATGGTGGTCGTGGCCCGTTTCTGCCGCTCAACGTTACTATAATAAAAGTTTCCAGTTATGCGTGATTATCCAGTAGTTGCAATGTGAATATTATCATACAATGTAAACGTTTTTGTAACCTTGTAACTGTTTGTTAGCGTCATCATTATAAATAATATACAAGAAGGTATGGCTAATGTTAAACACCTAGTCTTATTATATTGATACATAATTATCATGTCATAGAGAATTCCATGTCATCGTCATTTCTTGCTTTGGGTCTATGAAATATTGATCACATTAAAACTTCCAAAGGCGTCGCGTGCTCTCCATAACGATCCAAATTTTATTTACAGTTCAAAACGAAATCACACATTGCAACGAAACTTTTTTATGTGGAAATATATATATTTTCTTATTTAAAAATTTTGGTGTAAGCTGAAACATTAATACGCTATGAATAGACATATTGATTAACAGTATTTTAAAATTCCATAGTTCACATATATAGGTACTTCATTCCATTTTCTGTTAAATGCACCTAGAGTCATCTAAAATTCACCGTATGTATGCCAATTTATACACAATGCGATGACAAAACGAGAGATGTAATACATCCTTGACACAATATCATATTACTATCAATAGAGTAACATTAGTATTATAATTAGTATCTTTATTGTTATATATAAAACTAGATCAGCTTCTTAGAACTGTTAGATATGTCACCTCTTAGAACTGTTAGATATTGTTAGTATGTATATATGTTGCCATATGTGGTACCCGTTACATTTGTTGTGCAGTAAAGTTTAAAAAAAAAGGTAAAACTGACCTTGCTGATGAGGTCTGTACGACATCGTAAGTGACGTGAGTCGGCCTGCAGCCCTGACAGCCGTACACAGCGACATGGGCAGGCACGTCACCCGGGATGTCCAGCTCCATGGACACCTCTGATCGGGCTGACAGGTCCATGGAGTAAAATCCCAACTCTCCTGCAGGAATGCGCAGAGCCACGGGCTGCCCTGGTAGTACTAAAGTAAAAACAAACATGCATCTATGCCTTACATAGTTAAACTGTTATGAACAAGAAACATACATTTGTGATATAGATAACTTTGGAATTCGTAAAGCAGTAGCCATAAATTGAATATTGAAACAGGTAGATATTACGATATAGCCCCTGACCAAAGGTTCTGTCCATTTTGTCCAAAGCATATAGAAAATGAATTTCTTTTTGTATTGGAATGTACCCAATATGATGTTCTACGTAACAAACTATTTAAATTCCTGGAATTAAGTACCATATATTTCAAGAGTCTCGATGTTGGAGACAGATTTGAATATATCTTTACATGTAACGGTCCCCATGCCCAACGCAAAAATAAGTAGATATATAAAGGAATGCTTTGCTATTAGAAAAATACCGAAACTTGTGATTAGCCCAATCGAATGTAACACTTTATCAAAGACTTGTGTTATCCCTTATTATTTGAATAATTATGATATAGATATGTTAGGTTTTATTCGACATTAGGTCTATTTTATTGCTGTTACTCTCTTTATGTAGTTTGTCATACATTGTACCAGGTGCAATTGTCGTGCAGTAAAGTTCTTCATATAACAAAAGTGTTACACTGGACATTACAGGGACACGGGGCATTAGAGGGACACGGGACATTAGAGGGACACGGGACATTAGAGGGACACCAACATAATATATCGGCCGGCAAAGCAGTACGGTGAATCATAGTCCTAAATATGATAGGTAGTATATAGTATAATTGTTTTAATGTATAAATTCGTAGCAATTAGCATTAGAATATAGCGTTCCAGTATGAAATACTCATGTTTTGCATACAGCATGTCCTCCTTAGCATACAGCATTTAGCCCATCTGGGCAAGAACATGCAATAAAGATTCATATCAATTATAAGACCTCTAAAGATTTGTTTTTCCTTTAAAAAAGCCCATTAGAATAAGGTCTATGATTCAAAGAAGCAATTTTTTAAGAATCGTCAATAAAAAATCCCTTTTAGTTACGGTTGATTGAAATGAAAACTGGGGACGCCAACATGGCGATCATCACCATCCACAGTGTTGTGATTTTCTGTAGTCTATGGAAGGTTTCAATTGGTTACTGCAGAAAAGTATAGAATTTGGGCAAATGCCTCTCATAAATATTATGCCAGAAAAGACGCCATCGAATGTAAGCCATTTGATTTTCATAAAGCCTAGTAATTTCCAGGTAAAAGACATTTAGGAGGAAGAAACGTACCTAGAACCGTGCTTATCTAGTTCTATTCCTGAGGCAAGGATCAGGCATGATTTTGAAAAGTTTCCACTTTTACATGTAGATTTGCTCAAGGTTTGGTTCTGGCTACTCGTGGCACATTCTAAACGGTACCTGGGCATGGTTTTGGATAAAGGGTGGTTATGTATACAATAGGGGAGTTATTTACCAGTCGGAGGCATTGTAGATGGGTATGATGGCGACGGTGTTGTTGACGGCAGTGATGATGTAATTGCCGGCGTACCAGGCACGGTGGGCTCTGTCTTAGTGGTGTCAGTGGGGACGTCCATGGATCCACCATTGCCAACTTTGCCGGCACGGCCGATGACGAAAATAACTAAAGTTTGAAACAAAATTATATCCATGTGGGAAATCTAAAGGTAGCCTCCTGTGCAGGTCTTTCTGGCTGAAGGAAGTTTTGAGTCTGCGTTTTGTAGAACTTTCAACGGATTCTTTTGGCGGCCATCCTACAACCAGCCACCCAGAGTGGCAGGTACAATCCTTCTCTGGGCGGCTGGATGTAAGATGGCTGACAAAATAACGCGATAAAAATTCTACAAAACTCAGTATATTTATCAAAACTTCCATCCCGCCTGCACAGGGAACTAATCTAAAGGTAGGCAACCTGCATACATGGTACAACGGTTCACATGCTGATGTTTTAGGGCAATTCTGGCTAGTCCTAATGGGTGATAGACTGACAGGGCAACACATTTCCTCGCTGAATTATTAAAGGGGACAGATAATTGTTGCCATAAACAATGAGGAAAAGGGGTCAGGTTTGGAAAGCATCTTTCACTTGCAGCGAAATCTACCTGTAGTGCGATAGATAACCAGTAATATCACCCTTAAGAAAAGTGCCAGACGGTCACTGAAACTTAACTTCGTGAAAACACTAGTTTTTAGTAAAGAGACTGGCTAAACAATGATTTGCAAACCTAATTAACCGATGTACAAAATAGTTTGGTTTCTAGTACGATAAAAACAAAAACCAACCTATGATTGCAATGAGCGTGCCAAGGAGCAGAAAAAACAGAACACTCAGAACAATTGTTGCAATTTTCCATCCTCCGCTACGGGATGTCGATGTCTTTTTTGATGCAAAATCCGCCCGACGACCTTTTAGAAAAGAAAAAAAAGCATGGAAAAGTATTCTATAAATTATGTCAAAACAAAAACAACAACAAAAGTGCACCAGGTATATTTAACATGTATAATACATATACATACATATATATATAATTTAATATATAATATAAAAAATTACCTGTATTTTTATCCAAGGCACCGATGTCTGTTTCATGAAGAGAAATTTCCTCTGGCTGGTCAGTCGGGCTTGACATGGTTTATGACTGAAAACAGACACGATCAATCTATTGATTACTTTTAATCATAGTCAATTCGAAGTCGCTTTCTCCAATGTAACGTAAAAATATGCATTGTCCATTCTAAATGACTGGAATATTAGTCCAAGCATATGGTTATCATCCATAAGAAAATAAATACAATAAGAATTCTAAATTCTTAGAACTGTTATCCTGTAAATATTAGCAATAGCTTTAAAGTAATACTATGTTTACTTTATCGTACGTTGCAATACTTTAAAATCGCCATGCAATTTTTTTCAGTATTATAAATTTGAAATAGAAGGCATCATGAATGAGGAAAAGTTTGCATGATACCATAGCATATCTCCCTCATGATTCCGACGGATTCGTTTTTGTCAAACAATTAAAACCAGCAAATGTAGATATGGTAGATGCGGTTTCTATAAGTTAAAACTACCTTTCTGAAAATCGAGTCGAAGCCAAGGAAGTGATTGTGTAACACATGTAGGCCATGCTGTCCCCTAGCCCGTGCGTTTGTTGTTGGACTGCTTTTTAGTGGGAAGTTTGGTGACAAGATGCGCGTTTAAATCCCGCGACAATCGGTACCACCCGCGAAGACGGCTGTTCTATCCAGTAACGTGCTTTATTCAGACTCGTACACAGGAAATGTATCCCCATAGCTTTTGGGTAAATATGATAATTTGTGACTCATCCACAGGCCTCGAAATTAACTTTTCTTCCTATCGTCCCAGCACTGTCCCAAAAAAAAAGTTTCAACTTCCCGAAGTGAGGATAAACTGTTTCAACCTGTTGTTTTTTTTTAAGTATTGTATGACTTCAGCTTGAAGTGAACGTAATGTTGCTTATGTTCACTCCCAGGCACACTATAATTGCAGTATAGACAGGAAATTCGGGGGATTTTTCTGGATCCAAAAGCCGGTACGCGTACCTAATAAACAAAAGAAGGGCTGACATTCTAATGTTGATTATTTGTTTATTGTCCCAAAAATGTCCCAAAGTGTTTTTTGGGTTGTCCCAGCCTACATCTTATTGGTCAGTGGCCATTGGACCACCTTTAATTTCGTGCCATGAATGATCTAATTTTTTTTTTGGGGGGGGGTTGGTGATCTTCGAAAACATTTTTATATTCCCGCCATTTTTAACTCCTAGCTTATCCTTCAATATATAAATGTAGTCATTTGCATCTAAAACCCCACTAGGCTATCGGCTGGTTAGGTTGATATGAAATGCGATGTGTATCAGGCGATACGGTCTGTTTTATTTCCAATTAAACTACACAGTCTTGTTATGTTTTCGCAGCATTTACATGCATTCTTTGAGCACTGCATAAGCAAATCAGTTGGAACTGACTGAGGGAGATATGCCACATTTGCTTACAAATGTCACAATCCTGGCGTACCGGTCTTTAATAAAGGACATAATTTAGTGTGACGTCATTTTGCAAACTAAATGAAGTTGACAATTTTTGTCTTTCATTTCGGATTGCAACGTTTATACATGTTGGTGAGAAAGAAGAGACCGAAATCCTTTGAAATCTACTCACTTGTTTCATCCAACCTTGTCTCGGCCTGTTGGTGTCCATATGTAGATCCTGATCCAGTATTTTTTGCCCCAAAATCTGCGCAAAACGCAAAACCGCGCAAGGGGACAGCAATGAGCCTCAGCCTTGAGCTGCTTTACAAAGTTAGGCAGCCATAATCTATTATAATTACCCATTGGAGCAAAAAACTTTATAAGTACCTATATTGGTACTATGTATTCAGCTCCTATACAATTCCCATTACATACTGTTAAAAAGCCTTTTTAAGAAAGTAGATGGGCATTGGCAATTTTCTATCATTAAATGATTAATTATGAAAAAAAATTAAAAGATGCATAATTTTCTTCTTAATAATTCAATCGTCATCTGACGTGCCTACTCATGGATTTTTTTTTTATTCAGAAGCTCAATGAGAATTACAAATGAAAATACATGGACTAAGTGACTGCGAACTCAAGTTAGGTACAACTTATATTCTCGCAGCCACTTTTACAATGAAAGAAAAATATTTTACAAGACATTTAAAAATACATGAGACCTCGCGTGAGTAACAATCCTCCCATCCCAGAAAACACATACAGTTAGAATCTTTTTGTTTCTAATATATAATTTTGTACGGCTAACATTATTTTGCAGTTGGTGTCATACGAACAAAGGAAACTACCGCGAAGAACTAAATATTGTATGGAATTATCAGAAAGAGTGTTTAAATCAACAATATTACCAAGTATGCTTGAAAGCTTGCCAAAAAGGACTAAGCGCCGGTAGGTGTATATAGGGCAGTGCAATAAATAATGAGCAATCGTTTCATATGGACACCCGCAGCTACAGGATGGACTTGTAACAAGACCCCGGGTATAAAGACTATTATTCAAGCTGCAGGTGCCCAGACGACCCAGACGAAGTCGGGTAATGAGAATACAGGAATAACGAGAACCAAAGCTAAAATAGTTAAACTTTACAGGACGTACCGATTTGAAAAGATTTGAACGAAATTTTGGATACGGAAGAGTACGGATTGCTAAATTCAGGTTGTTCCATCCAGTGATGGAATATGGTATAAAAGACTTTCCAAAACGATAAACTCATGCATTTAAAAAAAAGCTTCTAAAGGGCGCAAGTCTTACAGTGAGAAGAAACTATCTCTATATTGAAATACTACAGTAGTTTCTGAGCATAAAAGAATAGGTTCGTAATGAATAGTTTTTGATATATAAAACAAAGGGTAATGTTTTTTGAGGAGCGGAAGTGTATATATATATGTCACAGGGGAGATTGGAATCCAGGGGGATCCGGAATCCTCCTAGGGGAGATAGGAATTTCAATTTGTCTTGGGACAAGTGGGAATTCTTACAGGACAATCTCCAATTTTGAAAGGAGAAATTCTGATTGCATCAAAATGTTTGGGAAAATAGACTGAGTTTATTCGCACCTAAACTTTTAATCTATTTCAGCATACGTAAGTGAATATGTAAATCAGACTCAGATATTTGCATCAGGCCATTGTGAGATGGCGACTCAAAGACCAGTTTGTTAGTGACTTGGTATATAAGGGATTGTTTCCCCCTACCAAGGTCCTTGCCCCTACCAAGCCAGTCAAAGTGACAGCATACTGATCAAATGATTGCGGCGGATGTACAGCAGCAGAAAGCAGAATTCTACAGATTGGCTTAGGTGTGAAATGATTCAATCTATGAGTTCTAGTATTTTTACTACTGAATTGGGATCTGAATATCAGCATTCCAATCTTTCCTAGGAGGATTCCAAAATTCCCTAGGAGGATTCCAGTCGGGATCCGGAATCCCCTAGGGGAGATTGGAATCCCTATCTCCCCTAGGAGAATCTGGAATCCTCCTAGGGGAGATAGGAATTCCATTGGGGAGACTGGAATTCAAGTTTTTCTTCTACAAAACTGGGATCTGAGTATCTGAATTCCAATCTCTTCTAGGAGGATTCCAGATTCTCCTAGGGGAGATAGGAATTTCAATTTGTCTTGGGACAAGTGGGAATTCTTACAGGACAATCTCCAATTTTGAAAGGAGAAATTCTGATTGCATCAAAATGTTTGGGAAAATAGACTGAGTTTATTCGCACCTAAACTTTTAATCTATTTCAGCATACGTAAGTGAATATGTAAATCAGACTCAGATATTTGCATCAGGCCATTGTGAGATGGCGACTCAAAGACCAGTTTGTTAGTGACTTGGTATATAAGGGATTGTTTCCCCCTACCAAGGTCCTTGCCCCTACCAAGCCAGTCAAAGTGACAGCATACTGATCAAATGATTGCGGCGGATGTACAGCAGCAGAAAGCAGAATTCTACAGATTGGCTTAGGTGTGAAATGATTCAATCTATGAGTTCTAGTATTTTTACTACTGAATTGGGATCTGAATATCAGCATTCCAATCTTTCCTAGGAGGATTCCAAAATTCCCTAGGAGGATTCCAGTCTCCCCTAGGGCAGATTGGAATTCCTATCTCCCCTAGGAGGATTCCAGATTCTCCTAGGGGAGATAGGGATTCTAATCTCCCCTAGGAGGATTCCGGATCCCCCTGGATCCCCTGTGACATATACATATAACAATTCCAAACAACGGTGAATGGCTGATGTGGCCAACCAAACATAGCAAATATGTATAAGAAATATAATGGTTTCACATGTTTCCATCGATTAACAAGCAAAGAGGACTTAGTTTGTCTGGTTAATATTTTTGGCTAATACTTCAAGGCAGGACAAGTTTTATTGTTTCTATGCTATAGGTGATCCTGTTGTTCTGAGACAGTTGATTCAATTATCTCAATACATAATCGGATATAAATATCACCACTTGCAAATTGGAATGCCTAGCCTATTGGCTCTTGCTCCCCGTAATAACTGTGGTCACATACACACACTACTTGCAGTAAATATTCCAATGGTCCGAGTTCCTAGAGTTCGCCCTATTTTATTTAATTTACAAGATATCTGCATTGATCTACCACATCGGCAGAGAATAGCTGTAGTCAACGCCTTAATAATCCCACATATAGACTGCTGCTCCGTATGGGGAAATACAACACAGAACAACATTAGAAGACTACAGGTGGTTCAGAACAGGGCAGCAAGGCTAGCTCTTGGTTGTGATCGGGATGCACATGTGGACACCATGCTAAAGACCTTAGGATGGCTGACTGTCAGGGACAGAATCCAACAGAGAAGCCTTGTCACATTTAAACGTATCATGCTCACCAAACAACCAAAGGCCTTGTACGACAAAATCACATTCCAGTCTCATATTCACAAGTACCGAACACGTTCAACTAGCACAAACAAAATCAGACTACCAAGACCAAAATCAAACTCTCAGAAAAAGCGCTTTATATACAGGATGTCACAGTTGTGGAATAACATAGGCAACTAGCAAAGTACTGGATTGTAAATAGTGAATTATGTAAAGTTTGCCATGTACTGTTAATGTTGTAATATTTTGTACGTTTGTAATATATGAATGTAAATATGAATGTGCAGACCACAGGAAGAATAGCCTCTTATGAGGCTAATTGTGGATCTGAATAAAACTGAAACTGAAACTGTTGCACTATATTTGGCCAACAAAAAATGCACATACATAACAACGTGCAAGGGGTGTCCTACATTATGGGTGTAGGGTTTACAGTGTAACGGTCGTCTTTCAATTTTACATACTGTGATTGTTTTCCCGAAGAATTCTACTTTCTTTTGATTCATAAGCAACTAGCTATTAATACTTGTGCATGTTACATTTTGGATATAATCTTCCGTTTAGGTTGACAGGATCTGTGAGTCATTCCTGCGAATTCTTTTGCTCTTATTTCATCTGCATGTATCTATCTATCTCTCAATGACAGAGAGATAGCTATAGTAATGTGATGATTAAGAAAAAGATATGTAGATGAATATATTTTATAGCAATTTCCGCAATTAATCTTTTCTGAAAAAATCGTCCTAAATAAATAAATAAATAATTTAAAAGCTATTAAGTCTACGCTACCAAAGAAATGGTATCTTGTAGCAAGAAAATTATTCTTTGAACAAGAAACTATAGAATCCCCGTAGCAAGAAAATTCAAGAAATTTGTCTTGCTGTAGCAAGAAAATGATTCTGTCCACGAGAAAATAGTCTAGAACTAAGGGCTAACTGTTCTTGTCAAGCAAGAAAAACATTCTGTACACAAGGAAAGATTTCTTGTAGCAGAAAAAAAAACTGTAAACTTTCTTAAAATTCTAAATAATAATATTATTCTTAAGATTCTTGTTTGTGGGCA